CCTTCACAGCAACAAGTAACAGGAAGGAAGGTTTGCACTGCAAGAACTACTACTGGCTTACAGCACTACACTGGCGGAGAAGATGTTTCTACAGCGGATTATAGTGGTCCCTATTAATAGATGTACCGGGGTCACAGTGCGAGGCTCCTAGGTGACAGGCAGGGCGCCCTCTTCATCAAGCTTTGCAGTGTCCGGGTCCGCGTCTACCAGCAAGAACAGTGTGTCCACGGTCTCCTAGAATCGAGTGTCTGGACTGTCTGTTTTTGGGGGGGGGCCAAGAACAAAGATTATTTTGCAGACTGTAGGAGCGTATAAAAGGTCCTGGTATCTACGGAAGACGCCCCATATCCCCATCATCAACCTCTTACTCAGTCGCCCTGACCCTCAAAGGAGGCATACCCCAACGCAGTAGAACATGGGATTTCTTCAAGGCAGGAGCACTCTTGGCAACCTAGCCATATATGAGCTACAGTCATGATTTCCTACAGAATTCAATGGACATGGGGTTCCTAATTAGGGACTACATCATACAAGGACTATCCCAAACTACAAGACGCACCCCTATGTCCAATGTTAAGGGTCCAGCAATAAGGCTAATATTAACAGGTCATCTGGGTTATGAGGACATGAGCAACGTCTTCTGGAGGCTCCACCGAGTTAGAGTAAGGGGTGATGTATTCTTACTCCACATTGAAACTATAGTATTGCAATTATAAATGCTATCAGAAGGTCCCGCTGCTGTCAGCATTACGCAAAACTGGGTTGCCGTCCAAGGAACTTCAGTTGGGATACCAGAATAAGGAAACCGTGTAAGTTACTATATACACATGTTGGGTAACTTTCTTCAGGTTCCTTACCAGTAACTCAGAAAAGGCAGGAGCCCTGTTGCTAGGATGGGGGGTAGAAGTCGAAGACATCCCTAGGCATGCTGTGGTTAAGGGTTTAGGCTCCAGGGGTTGGGGAATGAGAAGTTTAGAGTTTACGGTTTTTGTAATTAGGGTCTAAGGTTGAGGACTCAGGGGTTAAAGGCTTAGGGCCCTAGATCCCAAACCCAAGCCCAGACATGTAGTGGGCAGAGCCCCAAGGTAAAACTCGGCTGTGTGCCCCTCAACCCATTTGGCAACTAGAGGTCTAAGACTTGGAAGACAATTTCTGAGGGCTCAGTCCGTACTGTCCCCCCACGCTAAACCCTAAACCCTGAACCCTAGGTTCTGAAGTGGTTCAGGGTTTTAAGCTGTTTAGGTTGGGTACTGCCCCCCCCCATGTAACACTCTATATTCGGGGTCATGGGGGCAGTATCCAACGTTTAGTGCTCAGGGTAAGTTTCAGGACCCCCCTAGTTGGACAACCCATATATATATATACACTCATGCAAAGGAATCTCTAAAGAAACCTATATACTCTCACCGATAACTTCAATATGATATGAGTAGGGTCGCAGTCCTTACGAATAGTAATTACTGCTATCTTAATTAGACTTGTATGATCGCGAATAATTCTTAATAGTATTGCAATTACTACTCTTATTCATAAAGCTGATACGATTGCGAATATCACTAGTCGTACTCCATTACTACTCTCACTGTTGCTGGTTATTGGGCTTGGAAAGGTTCATGTCGGGCCGGAGAGGGGGTTGCAGCTGCTTCAGAAGGTCCAGCTGTCCTACGAGCCAGCCTCTGCGGGTGTCGGAAGTCAACGGTTCAGGGTTAACCCCGACACCCTAAACCCTCAAGAGGCTTCATGATTGCCTACTTCAATTCCTGCCCACTATGCCTCCCCAAAAACCTGACCCCCACGCCCTTAACCCATTATGGTAGTTCCCAGAAATAGCGGGAGCGGAATATCCGAAAGCATCAATCTGGTTTAGGGTTTAACGCAATATGGTAGTTTGAATATACAGTGGCCCCCAACATTGACCCTAAACCCTAAACCCTGATATACTATAGCTCCAAGCCCCGAACTCCAACGGGGCTGCATGTCAGTTTGCTGGAGGGTGCAGTCCTAGACATTCAAGGGCTCGACTCTACCAACCCAAGACTCGGGTTTAGGGTCCTCAATGGGAATGCAAATTAAACTAGTATAGGGGGCTACACATCTGGATTCACTTACCCACTCTTCTTGAAGCACCTAAACCCTAAACCCTAGACCCAATTAAGTACCCTAAAACCCTACACACTAAACCCCAAACCTTAAGCTCCAAGCCCTGCATCCCAAATCTTAAGCCCTAAACCGCAAGCCCCAAACCGAAAAGCCTAAACGGCAGACCCTACACCCTAGACCCTAAAACTCAGACCCTAAATTCTCGAAGTCCGAACCGACAATTTGCTTGGCACTCCTTGGATACGCTGTAGCCCCACTCTGCAAGGGCTCCCAGGACCTCCTGGGTTTGGGCTTAGGCTTAAGGGTTTAGGGTTTTCGGGGTTACGGGTTTTGAGTTTAGGGTTTAGGGTTTAAGGAGCTCAGAGTTTAGGGTTTAGGGTGGGGGCTTCCCAAAACGAGGCCTTCTGCCGGCGTTACATATAGGGATCATATCCGGATATGGGGAGATGTACGGCTTAGGGATCAAAGGGTTTTCGGGCTTGGAGTTTCCCGACATCAGGGGCGGCCTTCTTCGGGTCCTTGTCGTCAGAAGACATTGGGGTTTATGTTGGCCCGGTTATAAAAAAAAACCGTATGGAGTCCTCAAAGTTATGGTCCAAGTAAGGGGGTTTACAGATATTCCGCAATGTTTTTACCGTCCCCCATAGTAGTCTGAAACCCCACAAAGTCCATTTTTGAGAGGACGGCAGTCCTTGTCAAGGCTCTGATTTTGGGGTTACATGCTAGCTTGGCTGCGGGTAGAACCTAAACCCTGTTTCGTAAGTGTCTTACTTAGAAACCTGTAAACTATTTAGTGATCCCACTTTGCCTGATTATGAATGTTAGGACTAAGCCCCCCTGCCCCCCGAAAAATACTTACCAAGTCCCTGGGCGCTCCAAGTACGGTGTAGTGTTCCAGCCCTACTGTTCCTGCTAAGGACCCTGCGTGACCTGCATTACCACAACTCCCAAGGAAGAAGGTGTATACTTCGGGCCACACGGGATTATCAATATTAAGCGTACGACTGCGCCGGGCATGAGTTGTCTTTCTTAAGCTTAGGGTTTCCCCAAACCCTAAACCCTGAAGCCTAAACCCTAAACCCGCCACTGCTTCCTTGAAGGTTTAGGGTACTCGTGCCATGTCAGGGTTTAGGGTTTAGGGTGTGGCTATTATGGTTCCTCACAAGTTGAGGTACCTGTTGATTATTGTGGACTATTGTGGTTGATCCCTAAACCCTATGATGAAGGGCATATTAGGCCTTGTTAGTTCTTGGGTGGGGAATTATCGTGGTTGCGCTTACATAAGGCTTGCATTGGGCTTATGTGAATCCTAAAACCAAAGCCCCAAACCACCTTAAACCCTAAATATGGGGGTAACTGTCCTTAAGTTTGAGAGACAACAGACCCCAGAGCCTTTATTTGAGCCTTTATTTGCTGGTCAAAGGTTCCAAATTGTCGGGCGGTTGAAAGGACCTATGTGGGCTTCCATGAAAAGGCGGGAGAGCAGGTCTTCTTAGTTTAGGAAAACCTGAACCCTATACCTTGGGTCATTCCCCCTACAGTAACTGTCCTACACATCCCAAAACGCCCGGCTCCTAAATAAGCCCCTTCTCTCATGATACGAAGCAAGCTCGCCAAAGAATGGGGTCCAGGGGCTAAACCCTAAAATCTAACCCTAAAGCCCTAAACCCTAATCCCTAAAACCCCTAAAACCCTAAGACCCTAAACCGTAAATCCTAGACCCTAAACTGTCCTCTCGACTGAGCGCTCCATCGTTGTCCTTATCGAAGTAGCCAAAGGCCTTCACCACAAAACGCACACGCACGTGGTTTGGGGCTTTAGGGTTTAGGTTTGAGGGCTTGAGGGCTTTAGGATTCAAGGTTTAGGGTTTAGAGTGTCGGGGTTGCAGGCCCAAGCGGTCTCTGGTTGGGCAACGGACAAATGACTTCTAGCAACTAAAGATGCAAGGTATGTTATTATGCGAGTATTTTCGTAAAGAAGGGGTTCTAATACAGACCCCAAGGTATTCTGCTCCTTATCCCAAACGGGGACGTATTTTGCAAAACCCATGCAGGTTCACTGAATTCTTACCAGGCAGAGGTCCAACCAGAAGTATAATAAGCGCTGCGAGATGGGGTGAATGCTTGAGCTCTGAATTTAACTAGAATTAACTACCCAGACCCCTGACTAATAAACCGCCTCCCCTTCATAGGGATTATACGAGGGATCCTAA